GATCGCCGTGGCGATGTTCAGAGGACGTCTTCCATGTCCTTCAGGTTGAGAAAAATTCGAAAAATATCACAAAAAATAAAATAAAATACAATACAATACAATGCCTAAAACAGCCAAACAACTCACTCGCACAACGTGCACAAACATGGTCCGGTTCACATTCTGACAGTCATGAGATGCTAACCAATCACAAACCGATTTCGACAAGTTTTACTTACAAGGATAAACAAACAAACAAACAAAAAAAACCTCACAGAAATACCAGTGTGGTGTCTGTTGGCATTTTAAGCATTTTGGAGACCCTGTTACCGGTCAAAAAGCTTATTTTGAAAGCTGTGACCCTTGGGAAGAATTGATATAAACCTGTTTAGCAACTGCAGTGTTTGCAAACAATCCTGCAAACTGCAAATACAAGTGCAAAAAAGACCTTACCTGTTTTTAATTGTTTTTTTTTTTCTGCTTACTTCAGTTCCTGGCTTTGTATCCTAAGTTTTAAGTCATTAAAACTGGTCTACCAGTGACTCGCACCGTAAGATTTTGTGCTACACAGCTTTAAAACAAGGTGGGGCTTGTGTTGTTCAACCCATCTTTTTACTGGCAATTCGTTTATTCCCATGTTGAGGAACTGTAGGTTATTGGGTGGCTGCGATGTCCGTCAAAAGGAGGGCATGTACTCCCCATGTTATGAGGTGGTTGGCTGAAAACCCTTGTCATTCAGCGAAACCTGAGCGGATTGGCCCTTTCGAGTTCACCTCCAATCCCGTGAATCACGTGGATATGCAGTGTATGTGCTGATATCCACAGGTAAATACGGATAGTGTAATGGACACCATGTAAACGGGTAGTTTTTGCTGTGTTTTAGTCATTTTAGCTTGTTTTTAGACTAATGGACTATGTCAGATACCGATCATTGGCCCCTAATGGAGATAAGAGTGCCGAGATCAGCAAACTTTCTGTAGTAAGTGTTTTGTTATTCATGTAAACAAACAGGAAATGCACAGTTCAACAAATACCCATATTGAAATGTTTATTAAGAATTTTATTTAAGTTGCTTTATGATTTATGACTTTATGGTTAATGTTTTTAATGATTGGAAAGTTTTGTTTTACTATAATAAAATCATTTACATTATGATTTTTTTCATTGCAATTTCGTAAACTATCAGTCCTGGAAGTTCAGAGATTGTCAGGTTTAAACCTTTCCAAAAATGAACCAGCTCATGCCTTCGTTATGTTAGTACATGTGCTGCTGCACATGCCTTGTTCATCTACTCTGCTTGTCCATTAATGTGTCTATGCATGTTGTGGAACATTGTGGAAATGGCTTACACACTGTGACATTGTGCGTGCAGCCTTCAGTCTGCCGATTCACACAGGCCAGCATGCAGAACCGGCTCATTGGTGGACTTTGGCTTGAACCTTGACCATGGTATATACACCCTGCTTTTAGCACAGGAGCGGGGGGAGTTTTTGGTCCCTCTCCTCCATTGTCCTCTGGCATTCTTTCTTTCTGTATTCCCTTTTCCCCTGTTTTGTGTATTATCCTGTGTAAATGATGTAGTAATGTATTACCAGACATTCATGTAAAGCAAACTGGGGCAACTCAGTTGTGAAAGACATTATAAAAATGAAATTGAACATCTCAGTTGCGACAAGGCAGGACACACTGCTATCTCGTATTCTGGACGTCGCCATTACAGGTGAGAGTCCAAATGGAAATTTCCAAATCTCCTACGCTTTTCTCTTCTCTACACTTCTCTTCTCTGGTTACGAGTGTCACATTGCCAGCACACGTTTGAGTGCTCTGCCAACACTTGAATCATCTTCATCATCACAGACTCTGCGTGGAACAAGACAAAAAAAAAAACCACAATAAATCTGTTTCTTAAATGCACAGATAAATTAGAAGGATATAAGTACGATGAGGAATATTACCCAAGAGGGATGGCCCATATGGCTTGGCGGAGAAAGAGCTTGTTATTTGATTGCAGGCAGCCCCAGCGGATTGGTGAGATGCTGATGGCAATATGCAACGAATGGGGGTTTAACATTCCACAGGTGTTCCGGGTTTTCTTGTTTTATATTTTGGAGCATTAATTATACCTTAGCAACAGTATTATTTCTATCAAAGAGAACACATTTTCAGTGACATGAAAAGGTAGCTTTCACCGTAACTGCTGGTGTTTCACGTATTAAAAGATAATGTGTTGAATTAAAGGCATTCTTGCCTCTTTGAGCAATGTTAGCACATATTGTGCATTTTCAGACAAATTATTTTCTTGCGGCTCAGGCAAAGCATAACCCCAACCGAATGTTGTGGCACATAATCACCAAGCAGTGGAACTCATGGAAATTAAAAATTATCATTTCGAAAATCCAGGAGAAAAAATGTATTATCACCTTCCTTTTTGGACAGGAAGAAAGTGAAATTGCTGCAGACCTTGGAGGACTAGTGATTCTCTATTTAAGGTGTCACCAGGCTCATCACCTTGGAGAAAGGGTTGGGATTGAGTGACTGGCATTGACTTCCTGCTTTCTCACAAATCCAGCATCGATTCAGTCTCACGGGTTCAGTTTGAATGATTTTGTAGACTTTATGTGGTCCGGAACAGATTCTCCTTCAGCTTTTCCTTACAGATGTTTCACAAATCCTCTTGTCCTTGTCATCTTGTTAATAGGGCATTTTTACAAATATTCTCATCAAACTTGTGTCCCGAAGCCATGCTTGTAAACATGAAGATTAACATTAGACATGAAGCTTTGTAAAAAAGTAAAACACTGTCAAACTTCTCAATACAGATGCTCCTCTACTTACGAATTGTCAATTTACAAACTTTCAGACATATGAATGAGGATCACTGTAAGTCCAAATTGTGTTCATTGGGCTCCCGTTTCCTGTCCGCAACATCGATTTTTTTTTATCAGCGCACCATTTCCACCTAGTATGACTTCTGGCTGCTACTCCCGCCGCGCAGCAGCATAGCGTGCGTACTCCCAGCATCCTAGTTCTTTCTACTTGAGTATACCCTTTAAATTATGTTGAATAACGACTTACGGATATTTCGAGTTACGATCGTCTGTTCGGAACGTATCTCATTCGTAAGTAGAGGAGCGTCTGTATATTGTAGCATAAAAACTTAATGAGAAAAACACTGAGCCTATGAGAGTGGTGTCCCACGTGCCTGTGCAGCACAGTCAGCCGCCCCGATCAGAAACACCTCTGCGATCCCCCTTAACAAATCTGTCTCTTTTGTTGATTCAGTGTAATTTCTGATGCTCTTTCTTGTATCTTCAGTCCAGCCCTGACCTTCCTTCCAAGTTCCTGCCCTCCCTGATCACTGTCTCCCTCGAACCACCTCTAGTCTCCTATGTTCGTGTAGGGCTGATATCACCCAGCACCCTACACCTTTGGATCAGTGACCCCGACTTTGAGACCAGTGTGTTGATTTAATCTTTGTGTGTCCATTTCCACAATGAAGCCCCAGTTGTCCCAGTTTGGTTCTCTGAGATTCTGTCACCTCAAGTCTATAGATTTAATTTTTTTTATCCATTCAATAACTGTTGGAAAACGTTGCTTAATCAGGTAGATAAAATTACAGAAAGAAAACACCAATTTTTCCAGAAAAACAGCACCAAGTTTTAAGGGTTTGACTGTACTGCTTACTGTTTAATGTTTATCAGTTGAAAATAAAACTCAGAAAGGTCTTTGTGTTGTTGGAGGTACGCTGCAGCGATTTATGGAATTTTGTTTTCATCAAAAGCATAAATCCGTTAAGTTTCCTGGAATCGAAATTACTGAGTTAATAAGTGTATTAAGGGAAGTGGATCTTGGCGGCAGGTTATTTATGCTCCATATTCTCCATCGGCAACCTTTGGCACTCCCACATAGCGGAACAACAGCCCGTGAAATATCATTTGATAAAAGTCCCCCGTTGTTGGCCATCGTCTGGCACTGGGCTCCGAGGCACTGGGAGAACATGCGGTTGACCCAAGGCTCTTCATTACTGGAACACAGGGAACCAAACAAAATATTGAAACATCTGGGCTGGGCTTCAAAGGCCAGAGAGAGCCAGTCTTCTGAGCAACATACTTTTAGTGACATAAAAAGCAGGACCTCAAGTTTTAGTCTAAACATTCTCAAGGAACACATTTCATAACTCATTAATGCAGGATACCCGCTCCCTTTTTTTACAGCCAATTCCCAAATGATATCACCGAATTATAAGCAGCTTCATCGTTATTAGGGGTATCAGAATCCATTACATTCTGTCAGCTTCTGCTAGCCAGTGCTCAGTGATCTGATCGCTATCTGCCGCAGGGACTTTTGGAAGGCCACCAAGATGGGCACGGCCAGCTTGACTTGGCATTCTGGAGGTGTGTTTTTGGCTGGGACAGGGAGGAAGGGAAAGCCGCGACCTCAGAACAGTTTACACCACTGCCTCACTGTTCACAGGGAGCTGCCCCTGAACAGCTCAGCGAACACTACTGCTTTATTACCATCAAGAAACCAAGCCAGGTTTAGTGTGGTAGTGAGGGCAACTCCGACGCCAGCAAACACAATGGTCTCTTGGTCAATCATTAGTAGGAGATCGTTGTGAGACAGCAATCCTGCAAATGGCAGAGTTACCCTTAAATCAGTGACCAGCCTACTAAGAATTTCAAGAACATGTTAGCCCTGGGGCCAGTCTGGATAGGAATGCTTTCCTCATACTCTACAATGCCTGTTACTTTACACTATATGGGCTGTTAGCAGAATGCTCCATGTAGCACAACCCACTCCCTCTAATCCAATAAGAACATTTGTTGTAATTTACTTTAATGGCTCTTATCCAATCCAAGCATCTGTTATAGTATACCTTACTGGATCTGATCTTGACATTCGCTATTTGGATACTTAACAGAAACACATCCAACTCTAGATACTGCACAGGAGAAAGGAAGGACAAACGAAGTAAAATGAGGAAACAAACCTCGGACAACACTGCCAAGCTGTCACCACTGGTGCTGTTTGTTTATAACCTGAGCCGGACTATTTTTGCTTATAGAAAAATCGATACTGCTTGAGTTATCAAGCTATACGCGGATCTGGCTGAGCAGCATAAAAATCAATGCTGAGTTATTGCCTTATTTAAAAGCCGCTGTGAATAGCACCGTTATGATGTTAAGCAGCGGTGAAGTTATAAAGCGGAAAGACGAGGTCAGGGAAGATGAAACGATGCCCGCTTCTTCCCGGTGCCCGGTGATTAGCCGCTCCTGCTCCATCACTGTCCTGTTTCACTTCTTTGATCATGTGCCCATTTATCAATGGCTTCCGTGTCCATTTACAGACATTTCGGTTTCCCCACACTTCTAATTATGAGCAGGAAATGTAAACGGTCGAGGATTGCCCCAGCAGGATGCAGAGACACTGAACCCTCGTCCCACTTTAAGGGCAGCCTGCTAAGATTAACGAAAACACGACTCAATCACCATGCCAACAATCACACTTGCTTGTCTAACAGCTGATCTCCATTGTGATTACATTTAATATGCTTCTTTACTGTTAATGGCTTGAGATGGTATCTAGCGTTTTTATGAATTCAGAGATTAGGCTAACCACATACTGTACATGTCCAGTGCCAGAGTTCACCGACTGTGTCTTGTAAATGTTAACACTTTGGATTTTTGCTTGTAAACATACAGCCAAACTGAGCAAGACCGTAAAAAACACGCAAACACTTCTTTGCTTGCACAGTCGGAGGCTAAAAGTGGAAACTGTGCCCTTTTCAATTTGTAGACTAGTGACAAGCATAATTTCCACGACGTCTGCAGAAACAATAGAGCAAATCACCTGCCTTTCGACTACAGTACAGAATCTCACTGAATGCAATCCGCCTGATTGATTCTCGGTGCCTGAAAGGGGATTCATTAGAAGAAACTGTATAATGGAACCACGGAGAGAAACAGTTAAAACAGTAATCATGAAACAAAAACTCAGACTCTCTAAACCAGGGGTGGCCAATCTTATTCGCAAAGGGCCGGCGTGTATGCAGGTTTTTGGGATAACCTGTAGGTCAGCTGTTCAATCCCAGGTGTGAGGACTCTTCAGCCAATCAGTCCTCTAATTAGTAATCTAATTAGGGAGTTGCAGTGAAAACACCGGCCCTTTGCAGATAAGATTGACCACCCCTGCTCTAAAACCTTCAATGGTAAACACTATGGCTAAATCCTGACAAATTCAGCTTTCAAAAAATCAAAAAACGAGGAACCCTCAGAATATTTCCATCAGTACTCAAGCACAGGACTGGATAGGACCAGCCTCATTATTTTGATGTTGCGGGGACCATTTTTTTGGTCCCCACATGGGGAAATAAAAATCTGTTTATAAAATTTATAAAAATCTGTGTCTGGAATCTAAAAACCAAAAATTCCCAAAATCTTTCATTTTGTTTGGTTACTTATGGCTAAAGTCAGGCCTGGGTAGGGGTGTCATTGTTGAGATTATGGTAAGGCCCATAGAAATGAATTGAGTCCCCACAAAAAAAATTTACACCAAATTTGCATACGTGCATCCGAGCATACATGTGTCCATCCATCCATCCGTGTGTGTGTGTGTGTGTGTGTGTGTGTGTGTGTGTGTGCGCACACTACACGACCCCAAAGACATTGTGTGGGCACCATCCATCTCGCTAAAACACACAAGCAATCAATCGAGTGCCCCCCATTTAAACCCTAATGACGACTGAGGGTTAATTGCGGTCAGCTGGGTTTCATTACCTTTGGCTGATTGTCAGTCACCATGGAGACACAACCAATCACGCTAAACTAGTGTCCTACCATTGCTCGGCATCCCAGCCACTGACAAACACGGAAAACCGAAGAAAACTGACGTAATCCTGTTACTATACTACAGGACTGAAGTGTCAGAAATATCACTTGTCAGTTTTTCTACCTGTCATTTACCTGAACCACTGTTTTTCAGAATCAAATATTTACCTAGTAGCCTTTTTTCATGATGGGTTTCAGTACAAACCTGTGTCATTGTCGTGTTTGTTGTTGCTCTTGTATTGTGGTATTGTTTCTTCTGATATGTAGTTAAACAAATCATGTTTACATGGACTGGGGGTTGGTGACCTCACTTCAGTTGTGTATCATTTGCAACAATTTTGATTTTTTTCCATAATGGTGTCTCACATGTAGATGTTTGTTTCGTGTTTGCCCCTTCATGGGATGTGTTGGGACGATTCGCTTGGCCTTTCTAACTACATCCATTCATTCCATGTTCGTTTACCCACTTCCAGTGCGCAGAACTGTATTTATATAAGACGAGCACGTCGACCAGGCTGCCCCCCGCCTTGTGTCCTGTGTCTCCTGGGACAGGGTTCAGGCTCCCTCTGACCTGCACTGGATAAGCAGCATTGAAGATGGATGAAACGTCAGGGGGACGATCTTTAAGATTATTATCATGATTGTTTGTATTTCAGCCAAATGAACAAGTGCCAGATGTAAATAATAGGTACCAGGGTTGGGGCCATTCTGGAATGCATCGGTCAATTCCAATCCAAATCAGGAAATGGAAATGGAGTTGGCATTTAAAACACCCTGAAATTCGAATTCAATTCCAATTCTGTTCCTCAAAGTTTTTTTTTCCAATCCCAACTCCAGTTCCATTTCCAGATTTGGACTTAAATTTATGAATGCATTCCGGAATGGCCCCAACCCTGATAGATACATATTATGATTTATATATTTTGTGTTGTTGTACCTTGGTATATAAGTTTTATTTTCAGCTCCATTCAATTGCAGAGTGAATGAACAGTAATAATAAACCAAAATGTGTGTTATTTGTCGCTCCCATCATAAGGCACAATAAAT